GTAAATGAGAAGGGGCCTGTTTCCCAGGCTTCAATCACTTCCCTGGCTGTTTTTGTATCTGCTCATCCAACAATCTTTGTTGTTGTTAGATTTTGCTCCAAAACTGTCAAGAGCAACTTCTGACCATGTGAAGGTTAAAATCTGACTGCTTTCTTTTCTTGCCCTAGGAACAAAGCACAACTACGCTGCCAGAAAATGTCCCCAAACTCATTCCAACGAGGAATCTTAGGACTGTCTTCTGGACCTATGTGCAGCTTTTGCAAGGAAAACTGAACTTCCTCTTCTATGACCTCCGGAAAGTGTCCTGTGCCGAGGGCCATCAACCTGGGCTTGCCTTTCCTCCTTAGCACCTTCTCCATTTGGTCACACCAAGCGGGCACTGAGTGATCCTGCAGGAGTCTGGCAAGAGACATCTATAGCGCAGCTATTGGAGGGAAAAAAAAGCCATCTGGAAGAACAGGGCTGACCAAGCCCTCAGAGTGGGTGGTGGTGGTGGCTGGTGCTAAAAGGTGGGGGAGAAAAAGAAAGGGGGTGTTGTGTTAACCCTGGAGATCCTAGTCCTCTGCATTTAGTACCGGCTTGCTTCAGCTGCCTGCAAAAAAAACAAACCAAACTCAGGGCTTACAGAGTTGGGCAAGTCTGTCTCTTTTCCTAAAAGGAACCCAAAGCCTCAGCATCCTTCTCCTCCGACCTGGTGGCAGTTCCGGAATAAGCAGCTGCAATGAACTCGACGGAAAACTCCGTGGAAAAGATGAAGTGCATTCAGCCCATCAATTCGAGGCCATTGAATCGGAATCAGCTGCTGAGTGACCCCCATTTCTCTCGATAACTTATCTTAATGACAACCGACTTGTTCATAATGAAGATGGTTATCTTAGTAATTAGTCATTAAGGATAAAGGAAATATTCTGGGCTTTTGCAACAGAGGCTCTGCAACTGGGGTGTCCAACTGCTGGCCCACGGGGGCCGATTGCAGCACAGGGAGGCTGCGTCCACCCCAGCTCTGGCAATGCAAAAAAAGTCGCGATATGTCACGACACGTCACATGAAGAGTTTGACACCCGTGCTCTACAAGGTCCCCTTATTGTTATTTGCTGCTGTGCCCTAGGGTTTAACTGTTTATTAGTGGGTATGTACATACTGGGGTTTTCTCAAGGACAAGAACCGAAACCTAGAGCAAGGGTCCCCAACCCCCAGGCTTCAGCCCACTACCGGGCTGTGCGAATGGCTGGCTGGTGCGCACACGCCCACAACTTGACTTGTCTGTGTGTCGGGGCCAGTTCTCCCTCCCCCCCGGCCAGGCTGCCAAACCGTAAGGGTTTGGGGACTGCTGACCTAGAGCAGTGATGGCAAACCTTTTAGAGACCGAGTGCCCAAACTGCAACCCAAAACCCACTTATGCATCCTCGGGTGCTAGGTGGGTGTGGCCCATTGGGTGGGCGTGGCTGCGGTGGTAACGGCAGACTGGGTGGGACTAAAAAGTTCAATCAATCAATTCCAACTTTGCAAGATCTTTTTTTCCCGTGAGAAGTTGAAATTGACTGATTGATTGAACCTTTTTTTTTTTTACACACGGCGGCAGAGGCCTAAAGCGAAAAGGTTTTATAAAACCCAGCTAAAGGCCTAGGACTGGGGTGACGGCACGCGTGCCCACAGAGAGGGCTCTGAGTGCCGCCTCTGGCACCCGTGCCATAGGTTCGCCACCACTGACCTAGAGCATCTCCCAGCAAGCTACTAATCCCAGCTAAATTCCAGATCTACTTTCTTGTCTGTGGACCCCATTTTAATAAAACTGTCTATGAAAACCATATTTAGGCAATCACATTTGGAGGGGTCAATGAATTTGAGAATCGACAAACATTTTGCTTGGGTGTCCTCCCTTTATATCAAGAAGCCTTAGAGGGAGGGGGGAGGAAAGGAGCAGCTGAGTGTTTTCTGATTAAGGTAGAGGTCTCCGAACCTGGCAACTTTTTAAGACTTGTGGACTTCAACTCACAGAATTCCCCAGCCAGCATGGCTGCCTGAGGGATTTTGGGAGTTAAAGTCCACAAGTCTTAAAAGTTGCCAAGTTCGGAGACCCCTGGATTAAGGGATCCTATCTTATTTGGGTAATCTGGGGCAAGGTGTCCAAAATTGCTCCAGTTGTCCTCCTCTCCTGCAAAGCTGTGCTTGGAGCTCTAAGTAAACCAGAATGGAACGTAAATATAATTCAGCTACAGCTCTAAGTAAACCAGAATGGAACGTAAATATAATTCAGCTACAGTTGGTTCTAGCTCAGGGGTCATGAACCTTAAACACTCAAAGAGCCACTTGGACCCGTTTCCCAGAGGAAAGAAAACAGTGGGAGCTGCACAATATCTTGAGGTTCAAACTGGCTGAGATCCGTGATGACCTGGTATTTGTTCCCACTGGCCACTACATTGTTGCTGCCCAAGGCGGAAAAATGGACTGATGGAGGGGAGCCTGGGAAGGGTGCAAAGGGCGTGTGTGTGTGTGTGAGAGAGAGCGAGAGCTGCTGCTTTCTGCTTCCTGCTGAGATGCAGCAAAGGCAGGAGCCCCGCCCAATAAGCTTGTCAGCTTGTCCGAAAACAGCGTGAGACCACTTTTACACCCAGAGAGAGAGAGAGAGGAGCGAGGGAGGGAGAAGGGAAGCGCAAGTGCCTCTCTGTCTCTGTATCTGCAAATGGCGGAGGCTGGGTGCCGCAGGAGAAGGCTCAAAGAGCCGCATGCGGTTCCGGAGCCAGGGGTTACCAACCCGTTCTAGCTTATAATTCTTTCCAAGAGTGACATCCCAACCAGGTATCAATCAGGAAATCTACCAGGAAGGAATGAAACCTGCTATTATTGCCATTACACGATCAGTAATGACCTTATTCAGTTTTTTTAAAAAAATAAATATGATGGGATGTGTATTTAACTAGCACAACAAGACCTGATAGGATAAACAGGATACCGAATTCTTATTGCTGCTTCAGCAGTCATATTGTAAAAAGCTTCTTGGAGAATTATAGGCTTGTGTTGTCAAGCTTACCCTTTTCTTGCTTAGGTACAAAGATCGTAAACCAGCTTTCTGTACATGTAGTCCTTGACTTATGACCGATTGCTTAGTGACTGTTTGAAGTTCCAACAGAACCCCAAAATGGGATGAATGACATGGATTCAAAGTTCTGCTGTCCAGGTGCACATTGCTGCATTTTGAGGGCTCAGCAACTAGCCTGCATTTACAAATGTTTGCAGCACCCCACAGTCATTTACAACATCTTTTTTTGCCAGAAACTAAAGTTTACTGGGAAAAAAACCCATCCCATAACAAACCATGGGTTCCCTTAACTACTGTGGCATTCACTTAATGACTGCTGCAGAAAGGTTGTACAATCAGGCATGATCATATGTTGATGCGCTTTTTGAACCATCATGACCTATGACCAAAATTGTGAGCTCAATTATAGTTGTAAGTCGAGGACGACCTGCAATATGGCATCATCTCCATCAGCTATATAATTCCTGCCATCCCCAGCCAGCATGAGACTTTTTCAAATCCGTAATCCCGAGATAATTTCACACACACAAACAAAAATCGCTAAACATTCCTAGTTCACTTTTCTTTGGACATTTCAAATCAGTAAACAGGACAGCAATTTTTTTCTATTGTGTCTTTACCACCCTGTGAAATTGTTTGATCTGAAACACAAACTGTCCGCAACTCACCCTTGGAATTCTTTGCTCAAGGACTTGAACTCAAGTCTTCTGGAAAGCTTAACCACTATACTATTCTAGCTCCCACAATCCCTTTCTGCTGCATCCCAGGAGCTGTGGATGATGGGCGTAGAGGTCTCAAGCATCTGGAGAGCATCCACGTTGCCTTCTGGGTTCCTCTATAGCAGTGATGGCGAACCTTTTAGAGACCGAGTGCCCAAACTGCAATCCAAAACCCACTTATGCATCGTCGAGTGCCGGGTGGGTGTGGCCCATTGG